GGTACAAATTATCTATCAATATTTTTGAATTGAAGCAAATTAGTAGAAAAAAAAAAAAAAAGAGTTCAGGTAAATCGCAACCTTACAATTTTGTTTAGGAGAAATTATCTCAAACTTAAGGAATGATGTAAACTTTCCGTTAAACTCTAAAAGTAATACTTTAACAAAAAAAAAAAACATGTGTTGATGTTATCCATCAAATTTGAATCAATTTCTTTAAAATGAAATTGTGAGATTGATGATTTTGCCTTTAAGTCTTTTATTTAGTCACTACTTCATCAACACAGAAATATTACTCCCTCGTTTCAATTTAGTTATTTCACTTTGAGTGTTTTAATTTAAGGACCCTGATTGGTGCACACCCGGATCCAACACCCGGGTGTGCACCCCCATATAAAAAAAAAATTGGACCGGGTGAGTGATGGGCATTTTTTTTTTTTAAAGGGGAGTGTGCACACCCGGGTGTTGACCCGGGTGTGCACATATCATTTTCCTTAATTTAATTGTCTCACTTTTTATTTGTAAGAAGATATTAAATGTTATTATTTAACTTTTTTTATTAGTTTAATCTATCTATAAAGATGATAAAACTTTTATTATTATTATTTTTTGGTATTAACCTTTCAGTATCTAGAAACCATATTAGACATTGACAAATTTGAAGTTGAGTTGCGTTATACCCTATAAAGGGAAAGCTCTTCCAATACCTATTTTTCTATTCATAAAACTTGAATTCGAAATCTTATTTAATGGGAATTGATCGAGTTACTTTCATTAGTACTTTTATTATTATTTTAACAAAAATATATAGTTATAAACTTATAATAGGATATGATATATATTATAAATTTATAACATAACATGTCATTATATAATTGGTTGTTTTTACTCAAGAATCTACTCATAATAATATATGTATTTACTTATTTGATTATATGTCATAATTGTAAATTTACAACTATAACATAACATTATCGCTATTTTAACACTTAATTATAAAATTTTAACTAATTTTAAAATCAAAAAATGAAACAACTAAAATGAAATAGGGAAATGATTGGTACTTATCGGTTCAACACTCGATTCAATATCTGGTTCAATACCTTTTGGTTTAATCATTAAAAATATAATATAAATACAATCAATTTAGTTGATTTTTATATCATGTATATATGATTATATAATTATACTTATATGTTTTTAATTTTAGATTAAAAAATAATTTTTTAATAATTAAATCAAAAGATGTTAAATCAGACGTTGAACCGGTGAGTATACCGCCAATAAAAGATTCGAGGGACGGTAATTTGCATGTTCCGCCTAGCAAGACAAAAACCCCCCCTCTTAAGCCCTCAAATTTAACCCAAATAAACACATGAACCCCTAAATTAAAAACAATGCAATTAAGTTTTCAAACCTCTTGAAAGATACAAAGCAACATGTATCATTAAATGCTCAATGTATTGTGACCTCATGTCATTTGTTTTTTTTTCTTCACTCGGTCTCACTTTTCTATATGAACGTTTACGTGGATCAAAGGACCCAAACTCTTGCTAAAATGACTTACATAGCCACTTTTTTTATTTTTTGTTCGCAGGCCACGTGAACCATTTTGGTAGAATTTTTATTACTTTGGGGGTCTTTTAATCCATGTTAGTATTTATGTAAAGAAGCGGGACCAAGTGAAAAACAAAAAAAAAAAAAACAGATGGTGTGAGGTTTGAGTCGTAAATGATAAGAGCTTATTGGAATCTTTTGGGGGATTTAAGAGCTAAATTTACATTATTCAAAGAATTTGATAACTTATTTGCATCATCTTTTGTTCAGGAACTCACATGTTAATTTGAAGTAAGTTTGGGGCCTTAAGAAGGGGATTAATTTGCCGCCAAGCAAAGGCAGGAAGAAATTTAAAGCTAGTATTGCAATTTGCAATTGCAAAGTGGTTCTGGACCCCAAGCACAATAAAGTTGTCCCTATGTCAGCTGCATGACATCATCAAAAGATATGCCTCGTACGTGGTCCACCATCCGCCTTCCTGCATCCCCCCCGGAAAGTGGTATGAAGGAACATTAGCATCCTCCCCTCAAAAAAAATAAAAAAATAAAAATAAAAATAAAAACATGTTTGTATATTAGGGGAAAGTAAAAGGACGCAAATCCAAGCCTATCAAGTTCCCATACTCCCCTCCCTCTTGACCCTGTATCCAAGTCAAGTTCCTTCTACCAATGGACTTCTCTGCGAATCCTAACCCTAACCCTAATTACAACTTCGCCGTCGGTAACACCGATTTCTACCCAGAATTCGAGCTTCCAGATTTTCTCATGCTCGATGATGGCGGCTTTGAGGAGGAGGATCACTCGTCATCGCAAAGTATGGTGTCGTCGGAATACAAAAGAAAGGGCAGCGGCAGCGGTAGTGGTGGCCCGGATGGATCCAATGATGCAACATCAAGAAATAGTGACATGCAAGTGACACAAACCCACTTGACATTTTTAATTATTCAAATATCTTCCCTTTTTTTTTTTTAACTAAAGATTCCATTTTATTTAGAAATGATTAATATGAAGACTATTATTTTTTTTTGTTTTTTGACGTTTTCAGAAACTATAAGAATGAAGGAGCAAGGAAGAACAAGATTGGAGCGGGGCATAGGATTGCATTTAGAACGAAATCAGAGATGGAGGTGTTGGATGATGGATATAAGTGGAGGAAGTATGGAAAGAAGTCGGTCAAGAACAGTCCGAATCCGAGGTTCGTATAATTTAATCAAACATTTTAATATTTTTTAAAGAAAGTATAGCTATTATACTATACTTTTACTTAATATTTTATTATTAATTTGTTGCAAGAAATAATTAAGTGGAGATCTTGATTTTTCTTTTCTTTGCCTGCCACCAATGAAATCTTTATGCTTGTTCTGATAATTAAGAACCCCAATATTGGATGATTTTAGACGATGGATTTTTATTAATTAATTATAAGTAAAATGATTTTCATATAATTATGCGAAACCCATTAATTCAAATATTCCTTTTTAATTGAAATTATATTAAATCATTTAGTAGTACAACTCTTTTGTAGAAATCAATATCATATACAAATTGGTTAGTTATATTAGCTTATGATCTGTATATAATGATTACATCTAAGTTAACTTTATAAAGTTCTCTTTAATATATTAATAATGATAGATTCTATAATATAAAATATATTTTTTTAAGATTTCTTTTTTCACTCATTTAAAAATTTAAATTTAATAATGGTTACCCCATAATTTCTTCTCACTGGAGACACCATTTAATTAGACATAATTATATAAAGTTTAACTACATGTACTATCTTCCTTTCCTTTTAAGGTTTGGGCTAACCTTTTGTATGTTAAAAGTAAGTTAATATGGTATAATAAATACATAATTTTATAACTAATTTATATTAAAAAATATAAAATTTTAATTTTAACAACATGCTCACTTAAATAATTTTTATTTATTAATTGATTAAAGTAAAGTTAATATTTATATTTTTAATATAAATTAATTATAAAAATATAAAAGATAAATTTTTAATATATATTTTAAAGGTATGAAGTAGAAAAACCACTCTTTTAATAAGTGAAAGAAATGTCCTTTTTCTCTCTCCCTTAGCTAGCTTATGTCGGCTTGTTGTAAAATACAAGTTCGAGATGCAGAGCAGATGGTACGGGTGCATGCTCCTCGATCAGCTTAAAATGCTTGGCTTTAAGTCTCCATTGGCCCTTCTCTCTGTGAAAAGGAGTTGAAACTTGAAAGTTAAAGCCAGCTAG